AAGCAACGTCCTCCACAACTAGACTGAAGAACAAAACGACAGCAACTTGTCTGTTCCCCTTCCCCTAATTCCCCAGCACTGTTCCCATCCCCCAATTGCCCAATAAAAATCTTAATAATAAAAAAAAAATTCTAATACTCAATATATAGTGATTACAAAAGATGAATACAAGTTATGTGTATACATTTTTTTGGCACTCCCGGTGGCTTGGTATACCTGATCTACCTCTGGAGGAATTAATAAATTAGATTACAGGGATTCTTAAAATGTAAAGAAGCAAGCATCTAACGACTCATAAAAGATAAATAAATAAATCCATACATAAATTTCAAATAAGTGTTTTTAAAAAATGAAATTACAAGATTTTTTATATATTGAGGATACTAATCTCTTGTTATATTTTAATGTTAATTTTGTTATTTTGTATAGTTCATTATCTTTTCCTTTGTAACTTCTTTAATTGCTTTTAAGTTAAGAAAAGTATTTCGTATTCAGAAGTCAAATGATCAAGTATTTTATTCTAGGTTTTAAAAAAATCTCTTTCATTTTGACAAAACTCTTTAATCCAGCCAGAATTTATTTTCATGTGTGGAATGAAGTAAAAAATCTAACTAGGTTTTTCTAAAAGTTTTTAAATTCCTTCTTCACTTGTCTGTGTTTTTAAATCTTACTGGGGTAGTATAGCTTAGTTGGTGAAAGAACAGATCTGAAACCAGACTGCCTGAATCCAATCCCAGCTCTGCTATACTACTTGCTCTGTGACCATGAGTTCCTTAACCAATCTGTACCTCAGATTCCTCACTTGTAAACTGGCAACGTTAGTAACACACTTCTTGGGGTTTTCAGAATTAAGAGTGATAACATTCAAAGTGCTTAGAAGACAACCTGGCCTATTGTTGTTATGCATATGTGAAGTCTCAGGTTAAATTAATGTCTTATTTTTGCATAAGAACTATATCACATTATTGTGGTTTTATAATAAATTTTATTGTCTGCTAGGGCAAGATGTCATTTTTCACTTTAAAAAATATTAGCTATTCTTGTTAGCTCATTTTCCATTTGAAACAGAATTGTGAAGATTGCTCCAACCAAAAGATACCGTAGAATTTTTAGTGAAATTGTTTGAGAACTTGTAAACCAAACTGAGAACTAATATTTCAAATAATATTTAGTCATCCTATATATGTTTTGCAGTTCTCATCATCAAATGCCAAATTTTCTCATTAAAGGTCTTTCCGAAATTTTATTTTTTGGCTACTATGAGGTTTTCTTTTTTCAATCAAATCCCTTGATAACTACTCACTCTCTTAACCCTACCCACCTTTACTTTTCTATACAGCATGTATCTTGTATTTTTGTCTGCTTGTCTACTATTGCATTGGAATTTAAGTCCCAGTGGGGCAATAACTTAGTCTATTTGGTTGACCACCATCTCCTCAGTACTCAGTATTCAGCACAGCTAGAAAAATACTTGAATACATAAAAAAATAAAATGGTCCTTGTCTTGCATTCAGTGATTTTGTTGTACTCTCCTTTTTAATTCTTACATTTTTATGATAAATTCTCACGTTATTTAGGTAGATAAGCATATTACCCTCTGAATAATAATGCTTTCATTTTCCTGTTAGACCTGTTGTTCAAGCTTCAGGTTTATTCACTTGGCCAGAATCGTATTAAATAATAACAATAATAATAGCCATCTGTTTTTGTTTCTGATTTTATTATGAAATCCCAAAACAGAATTTCAGTTTTAAAAAGTAAGGCACTACGTAAAAGATCAGCCGCTGAAAATCTTAACATTAAGATTATACCACATTACACAAAAACAGAAAAAAAATGATTCCCTAAAAAATACAAGGTGTTATAAACAACAATTTCATGTTTCTAGTACATTTCTTAACTTAGAAGTTACCTATATAACCCATTATTAAAATAATTATTTTTACCTTATAGCTTTCTGCTCTTTGAATAAGATCTCTCATGGAAGCAGACAACTGATCCTTTTCTGATCGAACAGATTCAAGTTCTTCCCTTAGAGTCTGGGCCTATTTTAAATATACAATAAAGAGTTTTTTATGCACAGAAAAATTTTGATTTTCTAAAATGTAAGGTGGTTTTTGAATCTTGCATTTTTTAAGTTACCTTACCTCTTTTCTGCTAGAATCTAGTTCTTTTTTTGCTTTCACAGCAACTAGTTTTATCTTATTTGTTTTCTCCTCTTTCTCTTTGGAATCTTTTTCCAGATATTCTAAAAACATAAAATGAATGGATTATATATGAACGCAAAAGGGAAAATATTCAAAGTATTTACTTAGTTTAGCCCTCAAATTGATCTTTAATCTGGAACACAAAATTTGCAATTTGAAATTAAAAGTAATAAAATAAGTTGCAAAAATATTAATATCTGTATTTTTAAGTGAAAGCTTAACTATTACCTAAGTGAGACACACAATGGAAAACATTTCCATTTTCTTTAATCCTCCAAAATAACCTACTTTTTTTTTTTTTTAGCCATTTCATAAATGTCTAGGAACTGGAGAGGCTGTTAGGACATCTTTAACCTTAGGCGATTTCCTGGAAACGCCAAGTATGATAGGATTTTAGGTGGTAATTTGCAAACAAGCATGAAGTATAAGAGATACCAGATAAAGTTATATATTTATGCTCCCTAGGCACACGCTTGGTTGGCAGGGCTGATTTTTATGACTAAGCCCATAATGTGTTTTACGTATCCAATCTTGATCTCTCCCCTTAACCTCTTTAGCCATCTCCGCCATTTAAACTCCACTGTTCCATATCTTTCTTCTTGATGGTATCATGGCTTAACTGCAGTTACAATTGGAATTTCTGTCCCTGCTTATTAATCTAGTTGCACCTGTGCTCATATAGGCTGGCTTTTTCTGGCTGCTATAAGTGAATATTGTCTGTGTGTGTGCAGCATGAGCCAACTGCTCCAATTCTGCATTTCAGCCTATCCCACCTACTCAGGCCTTAGTGTAGCACTTCTCCCCCTCTGTTGTGCAGCATGTCACCTTCTCTATAGGTTTTTTTCTAACAGTTTATAAACATGCAACAAGAAAAATATCATCAAGAGATTAAGGTCAGGAATAAACAGTGGATGCAGCCAAAGAGGATAGGGGAGAGGTCATGATGAGATAGGTGACACATCATACACACACAAAAAGGCAAACCACATTTCCCCTCTAGATATTGTCCCATCTCTTCTTTCTTTTATAGCAAAACTCCTGGTACAGCTGTCTATACATGCTCTCAAATTTCTCTTCCTCCATTTTTTTTTTTTAACTCATTTCAATCAGGCTCTGGCTTTGGCATATCATGGGAACTGTTACCAAGTTACCAATGACCTCTAGGTTGCTTAATTCAATGGTTAGTTCTTAGTACTAATGTTACTTGACCCATCATAGCATTCACCATGGTTAACCATTTTTCAATCTTGAAACACTTCCTTCACTTGCACTTCATTTGTCTTAGCTTCCAAGACATGTGATGCTCGGTTTTCCTACCTCAGTGGCTGCTCCTTGTCAATCTCCTTTGCTGTTTCTATCTTTCTGATTTTTAAATGATGGAGAACTCTCTCTGTGGACCTCATCTTTTTTCTACACTCACTTCCTTGGTGATCTGTTTCGTGGCTTCCAATGTCAACTATTATGTTGACTACAAATTTTTATCTCTAACCCAGCTTTCTATCCTTAATTCCAGATTTGCATATTTAGCAGACTACTTGACATCCTCACTTGCATTGGTATTTAAACTTAATTTATCTAAAACAGAGCTCCTGCTCTTCACTAACCTAACTTGTCTCTATCATTCATTACAGAAAATTGGGAGTCAGTCTAAACTTTCAACTACCCTCTCCCTGTCTCTGCCAATCAAAATGGGCACTAAAATGAGGAATTATGGGCACATTACATAACACTTCTAAGTATCTGTTTCTTGATCTTTAAAAGAGCTACCCCATAATGTTACTATGAGGAATAAATGGACAAGATAAAGTCCCAACTCCTATGCATGTCACACTGGTGCTTCCATTATCAGAATCCTGCCTCTCCAGAAATTTCCTAGTGTGCTCCTTGATGATATGTATGTTAACATACAAGCACCTGCTGCTTCCTCTTGCTAGAATACGTTTCTTCTTGTGACAAATTTTTTATTCTTCAAGACACAAGAAAAGTATAGCCTATTTTATGATGTTTTTCCTAACTCAAAACAGGCAATTATGCATGCCTTTTTGTACTGCCAGCTCTGTACTGTTCCCACACCTTAAACTACTGTAATAAAGGCCCCTTCTGGCAATGAGCTTTTCGAAGACATGGTCTGTATCTTAATCACCTTTCTATTATTAGTGCATAGGTAGCTGGGCATTCAAATAGCGTGCTAAATGAAAAAAAACCCCAAATCAATCATGGAGTCATTTATAAATGAAGTAACATCAGTCCTTTGTTTGGATTAAACAACAGAAAGTGACAATTTTGAAAGAGAAGGTAAACAAATTGCAAAGAGGCAAGAATAGGGACATTAAGAAGAGACAGCTACTTATGATTTAAAGACTCATTAATTGGCTACTATGCTTCCCAATCTATTCTAACACCAAGAAGAATCTGTGTAGTTAATTGTGACAACATATGCAAAACCGTATTTACCTATTTTTTCTTCCAGTTCTTTCACTGAAGGTTGATCATTTTCTACTGAAGGTATTTTCTCTAGGGAATCCTAGATTTTATAGGAAACACAAAAACAAAACCAGGATCATTTCATTCCCCATGATGAACTGGCCATCATGTTAAGCATGAGAAAATCATTATTAAAGAGAATTCATACAAAAAGCTATTTGGTAAACAGTCTTCTTCCATTGATAGAGCAGGTAATACTGACCGTATACTGTACATAATAGCATTTAGTATAAACTAACAGTAGTATCCAAGTCCAAGATGATAATCTGACACATATATACATAATTAACATAAAAAAGATTAAATAATTACAGTTTATCATACTTTCACAAATTTTGGAGAAAAATCTAAAATTTTGGCTGAAGTAAAATACCACTATAGCCTACTATTTTGTTCAATAGTAAGTGCTCTTTAAAAAAGAGCATCACATATGTACATCACACAACAATGAAATTCAAACGTTTTCATGCTTAACTGTAGTTTTGCTTGGTGACTAGTTATACAATATTGACCACGAAGACATTTAACTCTCTAATCATTTAATCTTAAGCAAAATCATAATTCTAAAATGATCTATAACCAAAAATCCATCAATATAACAGATACACAACATGAAAAAGTTTAATGCATTTTTCAGAAAGTTTCCATTTGAGCTTAAATGCTAAAAATTTACTTCTGACTTCGAAGTGTATAGTATATATTTTGTAGGGTCTATGACTAAAACCAAGAATATTTAAATCAATAAAATTCAAATTAACAGTACCTTTAATAATATCAACTGTGCTCTCACATCTTGCAATTCAGATTCTTTTTGTTCTAACACTAGCCGTAGGTTTTCAAGTTCTTTTGTAAAAGACTTCTCTTTTTCCTTATGGATTTCACTGTTGCTACCTAATTTTTGTGATACTTCTTCAACTAGAATTAAAAGATTCTGATTTTCAAGACTTATTTTTTCATTAGCATTCTTCATTTCTAGAAGATCAGACTGTAGGGCCTCTTTTTCTGACTGGGTTTCTTCTAACTCTTTCCTTAAGAGAACTTTCTCTTGTTCATAGTCTCTTAGTAAAGACCTAAGTTCCTCACATTGAATTATATTCTCCTCTTGAAGGCACTTTACATTTTTTTCTAACTCTACCACCTTTTTATCATATTGAAAAACCAAGTTATGCTTTTCTTCATTTATTTTAGCTAAGGATTCACCTACAGCTTGTAGGACAATTGCAACATCTTGCTCTTCATCGTCTTCTGAAACTTTTGACTCCATTTGTTTAAGAAAACCATACAACTGAGTTTTGACAAATAACTTCTGAACTTGCTCATTTTCAAACAGTTTACTTAAATTATCTCGTTCTTCAACTGTTAATTGAAGTTTCTTTTGTAATTCAGAAATGTGTTCCTTAAGCATAAGATATTCTTCTTTTTGAGACAGAAAAGCTTCTAAATCCCTATTTAATTGATTCTTTTCTGAACTTAGTTTATTATTTTCCTCATGAAGAGACTGCACTTCAGATAACAATGTTTCTTGGTCTTCAAAGTGAGTTTTCAATTGATCCATATGCTTTTCTAGGTTTTGGTTATTTTGATCCTTTTCTTTTAAAGTTTCTAGTCTTCCTGTTAATTCATTTACCTTTTGTTCTAGTTCACTGTTGTACTGTGTAGTTTGCTCCACTTTCTCCCTAAGTTCTATAATTAATCTTTCTTCCCTTTCACATTTTATATGGAGATTGTCCATCTCCTCATGAGAACTTTTTATTTTACTAATGAAATCATCTTTTTCCTCAGTAAGAGAACTTATCTTTGATTCTAATTCTTGCAACATGGAATCTCTCTGACTAAGACTAACTAAACACACTTCATTCTTTTCTTGAAGGTTCTTTACGGTATTTTCAAGTTCTGGCACAAGATTTTTTTGCGACAATAACTTTTCATTTTCTCTTTGGAGATGATTCACAGTTTCAAGGAGAGCATCTTTTTCATTAAAAGCAGTTCTGAGCTTCTGCTGAAGTTCATTAACATCAGATGCTTGCTGTTGCTTCATTGATTCAAACTCTTGACTTATTTTTCCAGCAGATTCCCCTAGTTCTGTTTGTAAAATTTCCATCATCTCCCGCAAACTCTCATAATTTAAAATTGCTTCTTGCTTTTCTTGCTGTAGGTTTTCACATTGCTCCTTGAGATTCTGTATTTCAAACATTAATGGTAATTTTTCTTTTTCTGAATCTGACAAAAATGTCTCATTTAATCCTGATATTTCTTTTTGATGTTGTTCATGAAGATTCAGTACTTCTTTGTTATGCTGTTCTACAGTATAGCAAAATTGTTTATTCGACTCTTCTAGCTCAGATCTTAATTTTTCAATTACACAGCCCTGTTCTTCTTTAGCTAGTAATAATTCATTAATTTTAAACTCTAAATCTTCCCGTTCGTGAAAAAATTCATCCTTTATATGTTGGGCATCAACTTCAAGTTTTAATTTAAGATTATTCATATAAGTTAGCTCATCTTTTAAGATACTATGTTGAGACTCCAGTTCTTTTAAGGTATCTTCTAAGTTTTTCACTTTTTCATTTACTGTTTGTTCTACAAAACTGTCTTCTTGTAAGAGCAAAGAACACACCTGATTTTCTTGGTTTGCATTTGAGGCTTTCCCTAAGTTTTCTAATTCACATTCATATTTCTTCTGAATGTTCTCACTTTGCTCACATTGATTGACTAAATTCTCCTTTAGCTGGTTTAAATTATTTACTTCTGTGTCGTATTCTTTAGCAGATGCTTCAATCTGGCACATCAATTCTTTCACCTCTTCTTGGTGTGTAGCTTTCAACTGCAGAAATTCTTCTTGCAAACTATTAACATTTTTTTGGTAATGCTGAGAATTAGCCTCAATGACTTTTTGGAGATGAGTAATTTCTTGTTCCTTTTCATTTGTGGCAGCTTCTAATTCCTTCTGCAGATATAAAATTTGCTCCTCAAAGGCTGGCCTAATTTTCTGAATCTCTTCTTGTAGTTTTTTAACATTATCTTCAGAGTCACTCTGAAATTTAAGTTGTTCTGATAACTCTAATTGTTTTTTTATTGCTTCTTTCAATTCCGTTTGCAAGCTAGCTTTCTCTTCACTGTGTCTGGAATGTACTGCCATTAATTCATTTTTCAAATTTTCCATTTCTTTCACACAGTTTCTTTGTGATTGTTCAAACTCCTTCTGCATATCTTCCATCTTAGTTACAGAATCCTATTATAAAATAAGCACACAAAAATTATTTAATTAAGACAAAAGAAACCCCTGCTCTGAGGAAAAATACCAGCCACAGGCTAACTAGAAGGAAAATAAGCAGAAATGAACATCGAGAAATAGGATATTGATATTCCAAGAATTCTACTTAGGCTCTGACTACCTTCAGTATGACAATATACATCACCAGTACTAATCTTATCAAAGTATTAACTGAAAACTAGGAAATCTCTGAATTCAATTTTCTTTTAAGAGGTGATAAATTATTTGAGTTGTTATTAAGTCACAAGGCTTTAATGAATATCTCCTGAATAGACTAATAACAGACTTTTGGAGAAATTTGCCCAGACCCAAGTGGCAGAACTGAATAGATAAAAGTATTGAGTATGTGTGAGAATTGGCTTACTTAAATAAGTTCTTATAAAAAATGTTTTAGTATGAATTTATTTCCTTGTTTCTAAATTGTCAAAATAGATCAGATGCTTTTTAAAGCCTTAGGTCTAAAACTCATGACTACACTATATAAGTTAATCAAACAAAATAGTGCCTTACCTCAACCTCTTGCTTCATTTTAATATTTTCCTTCTTCAGAGAAAGACATTGTTGCTCAGTTTCTGCTTTTTCCAGAAGAATAGCATCCAGACGTTCAGTCAATGCCTGTTTTGAAACAGGATGATTTGTTTGTCTGACGTTAAAAATGGTGGATTGACCACATGCGTAATTATCGCCTTACCTTTTCCAAACCACACTAAGTTAAGAATAAAAGATTTTAAAAGATGTAAGAACAAAGAGAAAAGGAAAAAAACCATCAGGATATGAGAAATTTCAACATGCTTTTGGAAAACTGAAAGTGGAGGAGGAGGAGGAACTGAATTATAGAGAAGAAGAAAGCTTATAACCTAAGGGCCTTCATAGGGAAACACTTATGAGAAATTAGCAAATACTCTTTAGAAATTAAATGCTCAGGAATTGGAGGCATCAGATGTTGTCGAGGGAGGTATGTGTGTGGGGTTCAAAAATTGGGGATTGGGTGACAACATGAATAGGGAGCAATTAGAAGAATAGGCACGAAATTACCCATGTCCTGTCTCCCTCAGAGATAGGTTTATTCTCTGTAGAAATTAAACAGGAGAAGAAGTTAATAAAATGGAAAACAGATCAACAATTCAAGGGTCAGTTCTTTAAAAAAAGCTAACAAAGCAGACAACCTCTAACAAGACTTATTAAGGGAAGACCTAAGTAACAAACAATATTATGAATAAAAAGGAAAACATATCTACACATACAAATCAGACAGTTGAAGACAGTATTATCAACAACTACTTGGTAATATTGAAAACTGGAATGAAATGGATAAAAATTCCTAGAAAAATATAGCTTCACTATGAAAAATAATTTAAAAAGCATAATTAATACTTTATCTACTGAAAAATCAAACTAGTTGTTTAAAATTGTTCACCAAAGAAAACAGGAGAAATAGTTTTGCAGATGAGTTCTATCAGATTTTCAAAGAGCAGGTTATCCCAATTACATATAAACTTGTTCAGACAAAATAAAAAGCAAGACTTCCCAAGTCATTCTACAAAACTGGCATACTTGATACCGATACCCAAAGGGCTTTACAGACAGGAAAATCACAAGACGCATTTCACCACAAATATAGAGTTAATCCTTAATGTTAAAATTTTATAAATGTTAAAATCCCAAGTAAGCATTAGTCCACCATCACCCTAGAACTGCCTACCTCTAAACTTATGTGAAATAATAAAATCTTTCTTGTTTAAAAAAGCAAAAACAGATGTAGAAACTTTAGAGTTCTATTATCAACTTACAGCTATCAAACATGAAAATAGAATAAAGCCATTTTAAAATATAAGATAACAAAAAATTTCCTCCTGTGCGTACGTTCTTAAGCTATGCAAGGACATGCTCTACCAAAATGAGAGGGCTAACCAAAAAGGTGAATGGCATGTGACCTAGCAAACAGGGGGGCCAACATAGGAAAGCAGTATAGAAATTCACAGAATCATGGCAAAAGGCCAATTCCAGGAAAATTGTGCAGTGGACCTATAGAACAACCAGACCAAATCAGTGCAGAACAAAAGGCTTTAAGGGCGGTTGTCCAGGAAAAAATGTAAAAGATCATTTGATCTGTTTGACCATTTGGAAAGCAGAAGTCATTGTGAAAGACAGCTAAATTTTCATCTACTTTAACAGGAAGTTAATAGCTTAAATGTCTAAAATGGATAAATCAAGGAATAGCAGTATAAACATTATTTAGTGTATACAGTGATAATTTCCAGAAGTTGTTCAGTATTATAATAAGTTACTTAGTTATTAGTATTATTTCTAAATCATGTACATATTCTCCTTTGGTTAAAACAATTTTAGTTTTAAAATTAATTGTTTCACATTACATATAGTATTACAATATAAACTTCTGACTGGTAAAAGTCAGGGGAAGCCTAAATGCATTCATTAATTTTAGGAGCTATATAAAGGTCAGTAACTGAAAAGACCTTATAGACTAGAGGCCCAAAATAGACAGTTTCTTAGGAAATACATATTTGATTCCAGCAAAGAGAAAATGACAAGAGTGAAATGTACTAGAAATTCCAATATCTTAACATGCAATTTTCACCTTTTTGCATTTGGAAGCAGCATATAAATTCACTGTAATACCATAATACACCTCAAATTTTGACATGGGAAATATGGCTTTTTATTCGTGTTTTTTAAAAGTCAAATATGTCAGGTTTGCAATAAAACTTTAGACGTATTTCAATGCACTAGAAGGTAACTAGGAGAAATTTTTATCATAATTAAAACTTGTAAAAAGTCATAAATTTCTAACATTACATGAAGAACAGAAAATTTTATATTCAAAGCCACGTTTTTCCACTGGAGCTTTCCCAATAAGGAGAGAAACTTAGCAAGAAAGTATTTTCCGTTTTGCAGAGGTGGAGAGGACCTACCACACTGCAGCACATGATTTTTCTAAAAGAGAAAACTAACTTATAGCAGCTGAAGAACTGATGCACATCTTTTCCAATCACTCCCCAAAGTAACTTTCTCATTACAACTGGAAACCAAACATTTCGTAAGCAAAGACTTCATTCTTATTGAATTTTACCAAACCTTTACTTTCTGAGACTTAAGTGGTCAGGATAACGTGCTTTAATATTAAATTAATAAACTGAAAGGTAAAGGTGGCTAACTTAGAGAAATTTTCTAATATCATCTTTTGGAGTAGTTTTGACAGAATGGGAGAAAACATAGATTGGTGCAAGGAGGAAGTAAGAGGGAGACATTTAGATATTTTGAAATGCAATTGTATAAAAGGTATTTTAAGAACTAAGAGTTAACTGATACAAAATTAGAAAAGAATCTTTGTGGTTTTCTTTTCAAATACAAAAGCCTCCTTTTAGTGTTTGTGTGTACGTGTGTATGGATACGTGTATAAAATATTGCTAACAAGTAATATATAACAATAACAATAGTAATGAATAATTACCAAACATTTATGTGACAGGCCCAGTTCTAAGTGCTGTACATGCACTTACTCATAATACTCAAAACAACCATATGAAAAGTAGGTATTATTATCTCTTTAGTCTACAGAGGAAGGAACTAAGTCAGAGAACGAAGTTAAGAAACTTGGCCATGGTCACGTAGCTGGTAAGCAACAGAGCAGGGAATCTGAAGATCTGAATCAGGCTGTCTGGCTCCAGAGTCAGTACTGTTAATTAAACACCATGTAGTTGCACTTCGGCTAGCACTGATTAAGAAAATACATAATGACCAGATAAGCGAAGAAAACTACTATGAATTCAGTAAGCTTAAATAAATCAGTACTTGTAAATCCAAATGGCATTTGTGCACACCATTCATGCTTCATTTACTATTTTAGCTAAATAAAGAATGAAATGATACTGCATGATATGCATAAGGATTTAAAGACCCCTTGTAATAATTCCCTGGGGGGTCCCTCAATGGTCCAATGTTCACAAGTTGGGTGCCATCTAAAGAGAGTGTAAGATAATATATAATCAAAGGATAGCAAAACTCAAACCATAAATATGGAAAAGCAACGAAAAAAATTAATGCAGGACTTTGAGATCAAGAACCTTTCAAGAAGGTTAGGCCAAGTGGAGAGAAGGAAAAGTATTTAATTATAGGGCATGTAAGTAAGAATAAGCAACTCAGGCTCTTAAACAGGGAATAACAAGATAAAAATAGCATTCTGTGATCTGGCAATAGTATATAGGACTAAAAAGAGAAAGAAAGCCTAGTTCAGAGATTATTAAAATAAGTCACATATGACACCAGGAGTTTAACACAGAGCCATGGAAATGGAGAGAAAGAGGGTAAACTGCAGCATTATTTTGAAGAAACAATAGGTCTCTGGTGACTGACACACATACAGAATAAAGGAGACAGAAAGCTGAAGAGTCTCCAATGTTAAAAGGCCTGAAAAATAGTGCCTGAAGAAAAGGTCTGAAAAATGGTTGTCCAGGGAAGGAGACTTGGTCATATTGAAGAGAGGACAAGAGAAATGGGTGAAGGTTTTTTTCCCCTCAAACAGCTAGAAATTCAAATGTGAGGTTTCGGTCAGTCCAGGGATACATATCTATCTATAGATGATCAGCCCAGAAGTCATCATCAAAGTCCTGAGTATGACTGGGTTTTCTGAGGGGGAGAGAGTAGAGCAGAACTGAGATTGAAGCAACAACCATAATTACAGAATATGTTGAATGAAAAGGAGAGAACAGAAGGGACCTAGAGGTCATTTAACCCTCTCTTTACAGTCAACCAGAAAGGTTAAAAACTTATCCAAGGGCAGAGAAGAAGTGGAAAAAACAGAAATGGAAAGCCAGATAGCATTCAAGAAGGCTGACAGCCCTTCAAGGAAATTCGATTTAACATTAGACTGCCTCTACATAAATAAATAAAAATTAAAGCAATATTCACAACTGTTTCATTACCTTAATAATATCATCAGTTCCTCCAGGTTTTGATTTGAGTTCTTCGATTTCTTTCTCCAATTCTAAAAATTATTAAATTTAAAAAAAGATTCCAGTTCAGAAATGAAAAAAATAGTTACTGGCTAAACTAATAAGCACATTCTTTAAATTAAAAAAAAATTCACTATAAATTAGAATACATTTCAGAAGATATTTTTAGAAAATACTAACTTCATCCAGTATTACCTTTCCTTTTCCTTTTTATTATGGAAAACTCCAAAGAAATAAGTAGAGAGAACAGTATGATTAATCCCCATGTACCCATCACCCTGATTTAGCAATTATTACATGGCCAAACTTGTTTCATCCTGACCTGTATTCAGTTTCTCCTTTCCCTCTTTTCTTATCCATCCAGGTAAATTTTGAAGCAAATCCCAGACACTACACTGAGTTGTCGGAAAAGTCATGACGTATTTTTTTCTATGTTTTTCATTGTAAAAATGGGTCATGACTTTTCCAACAACCTAATATTATTTCAGCTATAAACAACTTCTTACTGTACAATCTTAAAGCAACAACTAACCTCATAGTAAACACACGTTAATCTATTTCATTAACTCATGCCTACGTCCGGAGCCTAGAATACCTTTCCAAATAAAGTACTCTATCACAAATTGATCCAGCTTCTCAAAGCACACTCTGGCCTCTATAAGTAGAAAATAAATTTTTGGCTTTTAGGCTGGGCAGTTAACATTTGTTAAGTCACTGGAAATTCAAGCACTCACCCACACATGCTATAAAGGATCCTAATATCTTTATTATTTTGGAATATAAAGAAAAGGATATAGAACAGGGAATCAATCAACTTCAGCAAATAAATATAATTCAAAATTCCAGAAACGGAAATTTTTTATTACTTTATTTAGGTCTCTTTTTACTACTTTGGGCTCACAACCTTGTGTCTCTAACATTTTAACTGACCATTCTAGGAGAAAAATGTGCTTAACTTTAACAAATTATTTTTTAAAATCCTCCTCCCTGATTTAATTTTAATAATTCAAAGGTAACTGTAGTTTAGAGATATGAGGTAACAAAAAAATAGAGGCAATTGGTTAGAATGTTAAATAATAATAGATTCCACTAAACTGTCTAAGATTTTAGTGGATTCACTGGTAAATAAAACAAGCTAATGTACTATTAAACAACTAATTTTTAACCATGATTAAATGATATTGTGGTCAAGGTGAGTATTTTCAATGCAATACCTGTACATCTTGATTTAGCCTTCTGTATTAGCATCATCTGCTTCTTAGCAAACTTGATAAGATCCTCCTTGGGCAATGTTTCCAGCTGAAAAATGTAGTGATGTTACCAATTTGTTATAACTCATGTTTCTACTACACCACAAAAAAGAAACATTATGTCTGTCTAAAAATATTATAAAACATCCTACTGAATAAATCATGTCAACCAAACCCTACAGTTTTTTAAAATTAGCAAATCCAACTTCAATTCAATTATGTTAACTACTACTATGAAATGTAAAAACAGCACATAGCCTTACATATAGACATTGTTGGCAGAGATTAAGACACATTCTAGCTTTTTATTTTTTTAATTGTAAAATTAGGGCACACTGAAACTAATTCTGATTAAAGCTCTTTAGAGCTGTAAAATTATTTCATTCTATTCAAGGCTGAAAGATGTCTTTGTCCACATGAAAATATGTAACCATAATTCTTACAGCAATGAGTCAGGTTGCATTTAGACTTTAAAAAAATCGGGGAAAGTTACTTCATGGTGGGCTCAGTTTTCTCGTCTGTAAAACTGGGATAACAACAGTAGTCATCTCATGGTTACCATGAAGCTGAAATAAAGTAACTGAGTGTTTAGGCAAGTGTCTGAAACTTAACATGCAAGCAATAAACCACTATCTTTGAGAAGCACTGAATGGTGAATGTTGTATGGGGCCATAAAAATGACGCAATTCAACTCTTTTCACATAGGAGAGAAACCTACAGAAGAAAGTCCCTTGACGCCTACCTAAGTCACTGCTCTTTCCACAACACTACATAAATTAGACTGCTTTGTTTAATGTCTGAAAAATTGCAGAATCTCTCAGTAGTGCTAACCAGGAGCAGGAAGTAAACAAAACGTCAACTCTTTTCATACCAGGAAACTTGAAAAGGAAATGGATGGGTAACTGCGTAAATTAAAATTGAGATCCTTTGGAGAAAGTCTATTTCTATTAAATAGGCCACCCCTCTTCCCATGCAAAAATTTCCCAATTCATCACCCTTCCATTCTTCAGGGTGCCTGCTAGTCAAGTATTCTCTTCACCTTAGATTTCCCGGTTCCAGGGGTGGCTGGGGAGGCCACCCCATCTTGGACAGGATCCTGCAAAGCAAAATCAAACGCAGGTGGTCAGAACTTCCTATCCCGGACAGAACGCGTGGAACCTTAAGAGGTAAAAACCCTTCCGTGAAATCAGGTGCAGGAAACCCTTCACATGAAAAAGAGAATTGGGGAAGAGGGAGTCGGTCGCCGTGGTAAATCGTATGGAAGTTGCCCTAAGGGGCGGATAATCGCGAGGGACGGAGTTTGGGGAAGGTGGGAGAAACGGGCAGCGCAGGGTTTCGGGTCGCAAAGGGGAGGCTGCCGATCCCTCAAGCGGAGCCCGTCTCCGCGTCCAGCCGCGGCGTGGGGAAAGCTCGGCGGGGAGGTGATGGGCCCCAGTCCCAATCTGCCGCCGTCCCAGCGTTACCTCCATGACCGCCCGCCCACCGCGGTCCGCTGTCCCGCAGCCCCACGGCCCCACCGCCACCTCCGCACTTCCGTCTGCGGCAGCCTCTGACGTCGCCTGGATTACGGGTCAAAGGTCGCGCTTCTCCGGGCCCGGCCCCACCCCCCGCGTCTCCATGGCTACGGCCCTGCGGCGCTTCCGCTTCCGCTCCTACATCCTGCAGGCAGTTCCAACACCTACCGCCCACTCCGTGCACAGTGCATCTGCAGCCCCTTCCCAGTTCTGCTTAGCTGGCGACCTAGGGAGGGAGACAGGGCGCGTAAATTCACTAGGTCAAACCCTGGTGCTGGTGCTGGTGCTGGGTGTCATAAACTCTGGTAGGTTTGAATCCTGCCACTGTCGTCTATTAGATGCGAGAACTTGGACAAATTACCCTCAGGGCCTCGTTTCCATATTTGTAAAATTAAGTAAGGGTGATGGGGGTATTATGTTGTGGGGAAGGTACCATTAAAAGGTGTCTGCCAGCTACGTTACTCTTTAGAAGAAGCACCCAGTGCCTGCCAGACAGCTGCTTTCGAGGGGTTTCTTAGGCAAACGCTGTCAAGCATGGTGCCCTGTGAGCTCACTGGGGAACTGATGGAATCAAAGCTTAGGACCTTCCCAGGTACAGGCATTTCTTGGCTCTCGGAGGTGGTAAGGAGGTCCCCTGGAGAGCCCTGCCCGAGAGGAACCCTGTACCTTTGTTGATGGAGGAGGAGGAAAGATGGTCTCTCTCAGGGAGTTGGGTTAGAGATGGGAGGAGACTCCAAATAAGAGAGCAAAGGGTCCTCCTCACTTCTGAGGGCACAACCATTAGAATTGCTGCCCAGTCACCAAAACTGCTGTTGTGTCCTGATTGGCACTCCAGAACCTTCCCTGTTTGCTAATGGTTTGTTAAAATCCTTTGATGTTACCTTTCCCATTATTTTTATAACTAATGCCTATTAACTAAAGGTAACTTGAATATACATCCTATTTTTCTGTAGTTTGAAATGGCTAGGCAGCATATAGTATGTATCAAATAAATGGTAGTTAATTATTACTAAGTAAAGTGAGAGTTATATAACCAACAAAGAAAGAAAAATTATTTTGAATATTACAGTGTCCTCCCGAGCCATGGTGGCCGGTCCTTTTTGATAGTGTGTGGTACCTACTCTTTGGCTGGGATTGGTTAGAGGATAGTTTGGGACTTCTGTTTAATATTTTGGTTTAGTGATAATGTTTTCTTTTTTTTCAACTATATAATTTTAATTTTTAAAATTGTAAGCAAATTTAAAAAGTTTACATTTCTTTATTTTGGGTGATTAGTGCAGATGAGTGTGTTTTATTATCTTTGTACCTACAGAGGTATTTTTTTTTATTAGTTTCAGGTGTACAAAACAACATAATGATTAGACATTTACACCCCTCACAAAGTGATAACCCCACCAAGCCTACTACCCATCTGACATTGTACATAGGCATTATAATACCATTGACTATATTCCCTATGCTGTACTTTACATATATATGTATAGTTGACATATATATAGTTGACATTCAATATTATTTTATATTAGTTACAAGTGTACAGCACAGTGGTTAGGCATAGGTTTATATAATCTATGAAGTGATTCCCCCTTGATAAATCCAGTATCCACCTAATAACCTGTCTTTACACTATTATTGACTATATTCCCTATACTGTACTTTACATCCTTGTGACTATTTTATAACTACCAATTTGTACTTAATTCTTTCTCCTTTGTCACCCAGCTCCCCAACTCCCTTCCTATCTAGTAACCATCAGTTTATTCTCTGTGTCTATGAGTCTATTTGTTTTGTTTGTTTATTCTGTCTTTAGATTCCACATATAAGTGAGATCATGTGGTATTTGTCTTTCTCAGTCTGACTTATTTCACTTAGCATAGTATTCTCTAGGTCCATCCATGTTTTTGCAAATGGTAAGATTTCATTCTTTTTTTATGGCAGATTAATACTCCATTGTATAAATGTACCACAATTTCTTTATCCAGTCATATTTTGATGGGCATTTTGGTTGTTTCCAAATCTTGGCTATTGTGAATAGTGCTGCAGTAAACATGGGGCTGCATATATTTTTTCGAATTAGTCTTTTGGATTTCTTTGGATAAATACCCAGGAGTGGAATTACTGGGCCATAAAGTAGTTCTATTTTTAATTTTTGGAGGAACCTCCATACTGTTTTCCATAGTGGCTGCACCAATTTGCGACAGTGCCGAAAAGTTCCCTTTTCTCTAAATCTTCCCCAGCACTTGTTGTTTGTTGATTTATTGATGATAGCCATTCTGACAGAAGTGAGGTGGTATCTCATTGTGGTTTTTATTTGCATTTCTCTGATGATTAGTGATGCTGAGCATCTTTTCATGTGTCTATTGGTCATCTGTATGTCCTCTTTAGAGAAATGTCTATTCAGGTCCTCTGTCTATTTTTTAATTGGATTGTTCATTTTGTTTGTGTTGAGTTGTATGAGTTTTTTATACATTTTGCATATTAACCCCTTATCAGATGTATCATTGGCAAATATCTTCTCCCATTCACTAGGATATCTTTTAGTTTGGTTGATGGTGTCCTTTGCTGTGAAAAAAAATTTTAGTTCGATTTAGTCCCATCTGTTTATTTTTTCTTTTGCTTCCCTTGCCCAAGGAGAAGTATCAGTCAAAATATTACTAAAGGTAATGTCTGAGAGTTTACTTCCTATATTTTCTTCTAGGAGTTTATGGTTTCGGGTCTTACATTTGAGTCTTTAATTAATTTTGAATTCATTTTTTATATGGCATAAGAAGGTGGTCCAGTTTCATTTTTTGCATGTATCGATCCAGTTTTCCCAGCACCATTTGTTAAATAGACTTTGTCTACCCCAATGTAAGTTCTTGCTTCCTTTGTCATAGATTAAATGACCATATAGGCATGGATTTATTTCTGCTGTCTATTCTATTCTATTGATCTGTGTGTGTGTTTTAATGCCAATGTCATGCTGTTTTGATTACTATAGCCTTGTAGTATAATTTGATATCAGGTTACATGATACCTTCGGCTTTATTCTTATTTCTCAGGATTGCCCATGGCTATTCAGGGTCTTTTATGGTTTCATGTAAATTTTATGATTATTTGTTCTAGTTCTGTGAAAAATGCCATTGGTGTTTTGATAGGGATTACGTGGTATCTATATATTACTTTGGGTAGTATGGACATTTTAACTATATTAATTCTTCCTGTCCATGAACATGGTATATGTTGCCTTGTACTCACTTTGGGCTTCGTTTGCTATTCTTTTTCCAGTTCCCTTACATGTAATGATAGAATATTGATTTTAGATTTTTCTTGTTTCTTTAGGTAGACCTGTATTGCTATGAATTTCCTTCTTGGGACTGCTTTCATTGTATCCCATAGGATTTGCGTCATTGTGTTTTCATTTTTATTTGTCTTAAGGTATTTTTTATTTCTTCCTTGATTTCATTGTTGATCCACTCGTTACTTAATAGCATGTTATTTAGTCTCCATGTGATGGTGTTTTTCATGTTTTTTTCTTGTAATTGATTTCTAGTTTCATACCATTGTGGTCAGAGAAGATATTTAATATGATTTCAATCTTCTTAAATTTTTTCAAACTTTTTTGTGGACTAACATGTGGGCTATCTTGGAAAATGTTCCATGTGCTCTTGGAAAGAATGTCCGCATAGATCTCCAATGTTTCTCCTCCATCTTTGCTGGGTAGCCTTATATAGTACGCATCCTGTGTTATCCAATGCCACAGTCTCCCTGATCACCTGTACATGCATTTCAGGAGTGTCCCTTGTGTATGTTGTATGTGTTTTCCTGTTGTAGTTGAGCCTTGATTGTTTTTGGCATGTCAGTGTGTGGAATTGACTCCCAGGCCAACTAACTATGAGGATTGGCTACACCCACAGTGTCTTACCTGCTTTGTGGGGGCTGACCCCTCAGAAGAGGATTCGCCCCTGCAGATTCTTGTGCCTGTTGAGACCCCCCTTTGAGTGTGCCACTTGTGGGGCTAACCAGGTAGTGCTCTGCTGTGATCTGAAGCTGGCCTATGGGTGTGTTGTTTCTGGTGTATCTTGGGAGGGGCTTCCATGCAGTCCAGTTTCAGCCTTGCCTGTTACCAGCCCTCAGCTAACTGGTAGGAACCACAAAGCTATATGTGGTTGGCTGCTGCCTGTGCTGGACCTGGAGCCATGTGGGGGTGACCTCCCTGTGAACCGAGGCTGGTTGCCACTAGTAGTGGGACTGAGCCTGCTTAGCAAAAGGACCAGGGGTCCCTACGCCTATTGCCACCTGTTTGTCAGCTGCCCGTAAGGCCCAGCCATTGAAAGAGCCTCCTTAGGTGCGAGGGCCTGGCTGGTTGAACAGGTGTTGAGAATGCCCTTGGTGCAGCACCAGCTGGTCAAGACAATGTGCCAGGGAGTCACAAGACATGGGTGGTAGTTTTTACAAAGAACTGAATGTAGATTCAGTTCTTATGCTAGGGCCCAGCCTGTGATCACTTTGCACAGTGCCCCGAGAATACCACAGCCAGCCACCGCTTGCCTCAGGCTCAAATCTCTGAAAGCGCCCCAAGAGTGGCTGGCTGTGGCACAGGTTTTGGGCCATTGTCCACCACCAAAATCCCCCAGGGCCATTGCAGGCTGTCAGTCGCTGCAAAAGACCTCCACGGCTCGTGGGACAGGGCCGGCCATCCAGGTGCGCAGAGTACCCCTGGAAATGCAGCTCGAGGTGGGCAGGGCAGGGTTCCAGGGAGCTAAGGGGTATTCTCAGTGGTTTCTACAAAGTCAGTGTAGTCCTGGCTCCCACTCCGGTGCTGGGCCTGCGACCACCCCGCAAAATGCTCTGATAACACTGCGGCCAGCCACCACCCATCTCAGATTCACAGGTACCTGAGAGCTGCCCAAGAGACACTGTGGGGCAGGTCTTGGATTACCACCCACCATTAAACATTTCTCATGCCGCCACGGACTGTCTGCTGCTACAAAAAGGGTTCCGCAGCCCGTGGGGTGCAGCCAGCAGCCTAGCAGTCAAGAGTGTCAAGAGTGG